TTTTCCTTATTTTTAAAATTATTTTTTATTCTTTTGTTGTTTGTTTCTTTTTTTTTTTTTTTTTTGAGACAGAGTCTTGCTTGTTGTCCAGGCTAGATGAGTGCCGTGGCGGTCAGCCTAGCTCACAAGCAACCAAACTCTGGGCTCGAGCGATCTTCTGCCGCTCAGTCTCCGAGTAGCTGGGCTACAGGCATGCGCCACATGGCCCGGCTAATTTATATATATATCCAGTTGGCCAATTAATTTCTTTCTATTTATAGTAGAGACGCGTGCTCGCTCTTGCTCAGGCTGGTTTTGAACTCCTGACCATTGAGCAAATCCGCCGGCCTCGGCCTCCCAAGAGCTAGGATTACAGGCGTGAGCCACAGCCGCCCGCCTGTTTCTTTTTTAATAGGAAAACTTCAAGCCTGAAGTTAATGAATTTTGAATATACAGAAAAAGGTAATGATGTTCAACCTGAAAGGTATTGTCTGCTACCTTCTAACAATCTTTAAAAATTGAGCTGGCCATGGAGCATGTGTAATTGGGAGGCGAGGCAGGAGGATCGCTGAAACCATGCATTTGAGGTTGGGGTGAACTGTGATGATGCTACGTGCCTACCTTGGCAATAGAGTGAGACCTGTCTCAAAAAAAAGAAAGAAAAGGGGCGGGGTGCAGTGGCTTACGCCTGTCACCATAGCACTCTAGAGCTGAGGCAGGGGATCGCTCAGGTCAGGAGTTCCGAGACCAGCCTGAGCAAAGAGTGAGACCCCCGCCCTCTACTAAAATAGAAAAAGAAATTAATGGCCACTGAAAAATATACAAAAAAATTAGCTGGGCATGTGGCAGCATGCCTGTAGTCCCAGCTACTCAGGGAGGCTGAGGCCGGAGGACCCTTGAGCCCAGGAGTTGGAGGTTGCTTGAACGAGCTGACGCCACGGCACTCACTCTATCCCGGGCCACAAGCAGCACCAGTCATCTGTACATCTCAAATAACTAATAATAATAAATAATAATAGGCCGGGCGCGGTGCTCACGCTGATCTGCCGCTGACGAGGCCCGGCGCGCGGTGGATTGCTCGAGTCCAGGAGTGTCGATCACGCGTGAGCAAGCGGCGGGCGGACGCCCGTCTCTACATAGAATAAAAGAAATTAATTCGCACCAACTAATACATAGAAAAAATTAGCCGGACATGGTGGCACATGCCTGTAACCCGAAGCTACTCGGGCGAGGCTGAGGGCCCGGAGGACCCCTTGAGCCCAGGAGTTGGAGTGCTTGTGAGCGAGGCTGACGCCACGGCCACTCACTCTAT